ACTTAATCCAAGCAAACCAACCCAGTTTAGCTGCTTAGTAAACTGCACTAGTACATAGAACAGACTGCAGTAAAGCACACAGCTCCATTTTGCCATATTTATCCAGCATACCAATCCATTCCAATTTTCAACTGCTCAGTAATCTTACTACTAAATTACCACAACCATTATCATGCTCATTTTATGTATAAAGAACAAAGATATTTAGATTTTTGACAAAAACACTATTGCTAGTTCAACTACAATTACATACAATTGTCACTACTGCTACTTCAACTATTGTATCAAAAACTAATAACAACAATTACATACAATTGTTACTTCCAAGCTATTTCTTGGTTTTTCATAAAAAAAAAGACTAATCTATCCAACCTACTATCGATCCTCTTCAGAGACTCCTTTATTTCATCTTGAGTCTCATTTATTTCATTTTGAGAATTTTCAAATTCCTCCATCTTTCTGCTCAATCATACCAACAACATTCCATATACCTGCAATGCATCAAGATGAAGACTAGTTGTGGAAGAATTTGGGACACCAGCGTGGAAGAATTTGGATCTTGGGTTTGGGCTTCATCATCCTTAGCTTCAACTTCATTCTCGACTTGTGGCTGCGATTGCTGAGTTTTATTCTTCTTCCCTTGCCCCAAACTCTTCTTTATTGTCCCACCATAAATTGGATTCATGGGAGTGGAATAAGTGTCGCTTCAGTGAATCACAACTCCACAATCCTCCATAATATTTGAAATCAAAATTGGGAATGAGAGACATCATCACCTTTCTTTATACCTTGTACCGAAATAATTTCATCAACTATTAAACAAGGTAAATCTATACATATACCCTTTCCAATGACATACAAGAGATGAGCTTGATCAAGTCCAAAATTAGCAGTATGTCCTGTACCCAACTATAAGATTTAACATCCTATATTTGGGAGTAAGGTCTTGTTGAAAAAATTCTGGATTGTCAACACTCTCACTAAATTTATTAGGTATACCCTCAATTTCTGCATGAACATCTTTCAGCTTAGTTATGTTCTTAAAATTCTTGAATGGATAGGTAAGGGTATTGATAGAAATGAAGGGTCGACAAACTTCCAATATTTTTGAAACTAACTTTGGAGTTACTTCAAAACTTACGTTCCTCACAAGGGACTTAAACTTATGATCATCTCTATCAATATCATGCATATTAGAATAAAATATCTTCACCAATGTATTATATGCTTTATCCGTCTTCTTGATATCTACTGCAGAATTCCATTGATGAAGAGAAAAATAACATCACATCCTACTTCTTTTAATTGATCTAGTAAAACGCCCCTCTCAAATAACAAAGGCTTATACTAAATGTAGTTTTCATACCACTGTTTGCAATGTTTGTTGAAGAAAGATATTTCCTCATTGCATATGGGGGTTGGATGAACTTGGTGGATGATTAAGAGTGGGATCAGCTGGATTGAAGGAGGTGGGATTGGTGGAGGTGGGATCAATGGAGGAAGGATGATTACATTTCTTCTTCGAGAAGGAGGAGGGAGGATCACTACAACTTTTCTTTATCTTCATTTTTTCACTGGTATCCACAACTTTTGGCCTATATTTCTTTCTACTGGTCATTCTGCTGTAACAAAAAAAATCTAGTCAAAAAAGCAATAACATGAAAAATTATCTATTGTTTTGAGCAATAACAATTGAAGATGTGAGGAAGATAGGATTGCTTGAACCATCACTCACAAAAACCATAATTCTTTCAATCCCAAAACACATCCCTTATGCAACTATTTGTACAAAAAATTTTATGAAATTGAGAGAGATAGAGACAACTATGTATAAAAAAATATGACGAAATAAACCTGTTTTTTTGCTAATTAAACCAAAAAAAAAAAAAAAACTATCGTAGAAGAGCTGAATTCTTGTGACAATCACCGTATAGTATACACCCCACACGCAAGTTAGACAACCACGACACCCTAAGTCACATGCACCTTTCTCTCCTTTTTCTGACGGAGAAGCACGATGCAAGTTGTTTCGAGACGATTAGGGAACAAAACTTTGAAGCCCTCACTTGATTTAGGGTTTTGGGTATGCAATCATGATGGGTTTTCATGATTTGGGGTTAGATCGCTGATTTAAGGTTAGATTTGGGGGTTAGATGGCTGATTTAGGGTTAGATATAGCTGATTTAAGGTTTGAGGAGTTAGCTGTTTTGGTTTCCTTTTGTTTGCTTGGGGAATAGAAGAAAAAGTTTGATCGCTATATTGAGCGATCAAACTTGGATCACTATTTATGCATTCCAGCGATCAAGTTGCAAACAATCTTGATCCCTTTGACTAATCTTGATCGCTCAACCATCGATCAAAATTTTAACTTCAGTAAATTTCACTTATACCTTAAAATTTTCACTTTTTTTTTTAATTTTTGCCTCATATTTTTTATATTACACCTTCAACTATTAATTAATTTTATATTTCCCCAAATTATTTTACCTATTTTAATTTAACATATTTGATAATTTTGTTATTGTAATAATTTTACCTTAACCCAAAATATAACCCCAAAAAATAGCAATTTTACCCAAAAAAATTGTGATAATGTAACATTTTAATAATATAAATGTGCTAAACTTTAATTGTAATTTAGCCTTGTGAACTTAATAACCTAATCCTAACCTCTAATATTTTTAAAATTTAATGTCACTGTAAAATTTTTCTTACATTTTTATTTCAGGTTTAAATATGATAAATAATTATAATTTTTTAAAACTAATTTTAATTTCTATTATCACTTAAAATAGTGGTGAACTTAGATATTGTAAATTTTTTGTTATATTTTTATTTAGGTTTAAATAAGATAAATAATTATCATTTTTTAAAACTAATTTTAATTTCTATTATCTCCTTTTTTTAAGTGTGTAACGGTTGTATTTATTTTTAAAATGTATACGGGTTAAACCAGTTATAGGTTTTGATAAATTTAAATGGATACGGGTGTCAACCCTACATTCTTTTTAAATTTTCGGTATCGTACCGATTTACACCTTTTCGATATAGAAGGCAACTCCTTAATTGAATTGGTGTTTAACATTTATAATACATTAAATAAATTTTTTTTTTTGGTGTTAACACGAATACGATTCAAAATTAACCACACGCGACCACCCGGTGAGACACGAATTGATACCCTACAAAGAAATAAGATGGCCTACGTCCATTGACTTATACAGGTGATAAACAGCAATAATTGCTATATGGTCTTTAAGTATTCCATTAAATTAGGAACGGCTTGAAATTGACATTCCAATCAAACCCAATTTAATTAGCCCCATGTAACAGAAGAACTCCCAATTAAAAATTAATTAAATTCAAAACACATAAGTTTTAAAAACTTTATTTTTCGGAAATACCATAAAGGTCTTTAACTAAATGCACCTTACATTTAGTTAAACTACATGTGGACCCCCCCTTCTTATCTTAAAAATTTTATTGAGACCCCTTGACGTTTGACAACGTATGACACGAACACCCCCTTTCTTTTGTCGGATGTCGAAAGAAGTAAAGAGAGATAACATCATCAACAACATGTAATATAATACCCAAAACACCCCTTTACAATGTGAGAGACTATATTAACTCAATAAAATGTCTAGTCTACCCTCCCACCTCACTTATAATTTTGACAAATAATGATACAACAATTCAATTATGTTTATTATACTAATCTAATTGACTTAATTATATAAATAATAATAAGTCTAAATTTAGGAATAGAATAATTTATTTTTAAAAAATCTGGTGCATTAATTATGCTAAATTATTTTTAAGAAGAGACCATATCAAAGTTATTCCAATATTTAAGGTTTGTTTTACAATAATTAAATTAAAATTTGATCAATTCCCTGATATTTCAAATTAATTCACTAAATCTAATCAATTCATTAGATCAAGTTCATATCCCATGAATTCCCATAGTGATTACGATTTAAAACTAATCAACATTCTAAATATAATAGATTGCATTAATTGAGCTTACCTAACACATATTACACAATTCATATATAATCTATTATTTCCAAATTATGACACCACTAATTAAGCCATTTAATTAGCTATTTTTTTTCCCAATTAAGACACCATTGATTAAGGCAATTTTGTTTCTAAGTTAAAACATCATTAATTAAGCCAATCATCTTTCACCACTGCCCACCAACCTCCTCAATCACCTTTTTTGTATAGTTATTTTAGGGGGAGAGAGAGAGAGAGAGAGAGATCAAAACCATTGAATTTGATCTCTGATTGGTGGACGAAGAGATTTTTAGATCCACAATTAGGTTTTGCAGAGGTGCCTGTAAGATGGGGTTGGTGACTGCGAGGTGGAGATGGGGGAGGAGGGGTGGGGGAGTAGGTGGCGGGGGCTGGGTGGGGGAGTGGAGGTGGAAGGCTAAGGGTGTCGTCGATGGTAGGAGAGAGAGAGGTTATTTTATATCGTTTAAAGATTGGGGTTTCAGTACAATTTCTAAAATGTGAGGGGATCCTCATGTAATTAAACCAAATGCCATGTGAGTGTAAATGAAATTTTCCATAATATATTAATCTCCACCTCCATGTGTGATATGTTTGGTTTGGTAGCTCCGGGAGTTGCCCTTTTGGACAACAAATCATCTTCCACTCCGGATGAGTCTTTTTTTTTTAATTGTAAAAGAAATCTCGAATGTACACAACCATCAAAAATAACATGCATCAATTAAACTCATAATAAATGCCAGCACAAAAGCCGACACGTTCTCATTGTAAAGCTATTAATATTACAATAACAAGAACAAATAAAATAAGGGCAGTCATAGGCCAGGAGTTACAAAAACATGGAAGATGGAAGTGAGAAGCCATCTCTGACCAACCCAAGCTCATTCCTAGCAAATATCTATGTAGTACTCTGTAACAATGAAATCTCTAATACTATGATAATCATTAATCAGTGGTAGTAAAAATCAATAATAAGAATTTTAATTTTCTTGACGATTTGTTGGTCTGTAGAGCTTCACTGAGCGCTCGTTTATTGGTTGTACAGGTCTTGCATTAGTTTCTGAGTCCTGTAAAAAAATAATGATCATCATCCAAACATGATTAGATGGTAGGTAAACAACATCATAATTAATGTATAATAAATAAATTATACTTTAGGTTCATGTGTTTTGAGGTAGGAACACTTAAAAGTTTGTTGTTGAATTTTAAGGTCGAGAGTTCGAACTTCGTTATCTCCCTCGCTATAATAATGTATCATGTGAAAAAAAAGTAGACACTTAGCATCCTTATCCATTAAAAACCTATGCATAATCCCAGTTATTTTGGTCCATAATGTAATAACCAAGGAGATAAACAATTTACGTAGAGCAAAGGGAAGAGAATGAAAGAGATTGATTTACTTCATAGGAGAAAATTAGAAAAGAGGTAATATGTAAAAAGTTATAAAAGTAATTATTCAATATAGAATTTCGACGTTTGCTTTTATAATTCGCTATAAAAGTTTAAGTTTCTCCAAAATCACAAGGCATTTGTATAATATTTAAAATATAGGAAAACAATATGTCATTGGATAAAACCACATAGAGTTAATCTATAACTATTATCGATCAACTCTATTGATATATTAGTGGCGTGTCCTAATTATTGGACCTTAAGGTTGCAGATTCAAATAATTTATTTGTTGATAAAGAGAGCAATAATATTAATAACTTACGTCATGAACAGCTTGACGAATTAGTTTTACTTGTTCTCTGCTAGCAGTTCTGACCTGATAAATCCCACAAGGAGCCATTAGCAAACAGTACTTCTCTTGTAAAATCATAATTTTATTACTTGATAATAATTAATGTAAGCTTAGTAGAGCTTACCTTTCTCAGCATGGTCCAGGCAATGTTTTGAGTGCAGGGAGGAGTTGTAAGGGACCCAATGTACCTGTAATACTTTCTGCTCCCCAACTTTAATTGCCTTGGGTCAATTGTACCCACCACCCTCTCTACTCCTCTGATATCAGCAAGGGCTTTTAAATCTTTCCCCATCTGAGGATACACATAGACATCACATCAGTTGTCTTGTATCATGTTATGACTTGTTAAATCTCATAAATCATATTTTTGTAATATTTTTTAAAATTATAGTTGATATATCTATAATCGTACATAATTGAATTTGTATTATATATCCGTTATATTAAGTGATCTGTGTTGTGTTATATCACAAACAAGTTGACCCAAAACTCGATCGGTGTGACAAAGTTCACCCACTTATCATTCATATTCATTAAAAGTAAATTCAAACCCACTAATTTTGTATCAATTCGTGCTGAAATGGTGGATGTCTATAGAATTGCTAGGACTAGATGTACAGAAATATGTGTTTGTGTGTGTGCGCGAGAGAGAGAGAGAGAGAGAGAGAGAGTAGTTTGTGGGATTACCATCGACAAGAAGGAATCAGGTCGTCCAATCTTATACATAATTCCAAACACAGCAGTTCTACCGTTCGCGCTCTGATGAACCAAGTGCACTTCTAAATCATAACTGTAGCGTAGATTTTAGTATTGTTATTATCATCAATACGTAGTGTAATACACACACTACACACACACAATTGAAAAAGAGAAGCACCTCCGGCCATTGATGGTGTGTTCAGAAGGTGAGTGCCAATGGCATTGGTTGAGTGTATATTGAGTTCCATTTATGTAGATATGTCCTCCACCATTTTCCCATCTCAACTGCAACCATAAACAAATTATCAACCTATTTAAATGCAAATTCAAACAGAAACTAATGCAAAATCTCGGGGGTACGTAATTTTTTTTTTATAGATATTTCTAATAAAGATTTTATGGGCATTTGATTTGATATTAAAATCTCTTGTTATTGTCCTAGAGGTAACTTTAGGAAGGATTCTAATATTTTTAGCATGTATGGCAAAGTTGTGGTAACTTGGCCAAAGAAAAAAAATTTGTAACTCAAGCTTTAAAAGTTGTAACACAACCCAAAAATTGTATAGAGTCTCAAAACCATGTATCAAAATCCAAAAAAATAGTAAAACTTGGAAGTGTAGGACCAGTTTTTTTGGACACGGTAGTCCTTTCCTATGGTTATTGGAAAGTAATGCTACCTTTTTGAAAAAAAAGTATATGATGTAAGGTGAGATTTTCAATCTGTGAATGAAAATTAAAAAAATTTCAAATCATAATCTGAAAAATCATTAGCAGTTGAACCACTAAAATGGATGGTATATTGAAGATTGAACTGCCCAAGAACATAAGATAAATGTTTTTCTTCTCTCTCTTACCATCATATCATGGCCTCTATTTATAAGAGTTGCATTAGAGGGTTTGTAATCCCTCTTAAGTCTTCCCAAGTGAGAAACTATCTCAACTCTCTCATTCAGCAGATCAATAGGAGACTGCATGGTTCCATTGTTACACATGCTCCATTCTGGATGAATCTCTCCCCAGCGCTCCGGTCCATTATCGCTGCCTGGTACATAACTGAACTCGCTCTCATCCTCTGCACCATATATCAAGAGCAACATAATGAAGACGAAGAAAACACTAAGCATATATATGCTATGGAAACTCTTCACTAATTTTGCTCAAACAAGGAGAAAAACAGCAGTTTTTAAAAAAACCAACGTAGCTCAACACGAGCCCAAATAGCTCGGGAAATTTTTGAGCATGTCTTGAACTCTGTTGTATATCTAATTTCAGTAAAAAACATGAAATGCCTTACCAACTTCTTGACATGTTGCTGGGCATGAGGCTAAAAGCAAAAGAAGAATAGTGAAGAAACCACAGAACATGATTTGCCTCATTAGTTTCTCCATAGTTTCTTCTTTTTTGGTTTTCCAAATTTGAAGCTTGCTGTGTTTGGAGGGGGTTTAACTGCTTATGTATACTATATATAGTATGAGCCAGTAATGTGGATTTGAAAAATGATATTTGAGTTTGAATTGACTGCTTTACTTTCTTCCAAAATTTTCGTAGGCAACTTTTAAATAAGTTTAGAAGTCAATTCGTCTCTTGGGTACAAATAAAAATAATGCCGGGAAAGAAGACCAGGTGGTCTTTATGATGCCTATATTTCTCTCTTCTATTTGATTAATGTCCCAGGTGACGAAACTTTGGCTGAAAACTAAGAAGGGTCTCAATTTTTTACTATAAGTCTTGGGTTGGGTGGGGGCCGGTTTGTTTAATGGTTAGATATTGAAGTTTGATCAAGTCGTTCATTGAATAGAACATTTTATTTGTAAAAAAAGAGAATAGAAAATGAATAGCAATTGTAGATTACTTTAGTGTAATCTATAATATACATGAGGAGATTTATTTATAGTATATGAGAGTTTTGAGGTTTTCTAGTTTAACTGATGTAAGATAAACATATTATAATTATATACGTTAACATCCCCTCTCAAATTCAACTAGGTAAAATAGAATCAACTTGACCAAATCATGAAATTGGCCAGACAGATGTTCCTTGGTAAAAATGTCAGTAGTCTGGTTAGATGAAAAAACAGAGAGAAGATGAACTACGCCTCAAGCCGCGTGTTGTTATACAAAATGATAATCAATTTCAATATGCTTGGTACGATAATGGAAAACATCATTGTGATCAATCTGTATCGCACTCTGATTGTCACAATAAAGAATAGTAACACTAGATCAGAGACACCTAAATCTTCTAAGAGCCAACTAAACCAAAGAAGCCCTTGGATAGTGTCAGCAAAAGCACAATACTATGACTTTGTATTGAATCGAGAGATAAACACACTATTTCTTGTTGTCATAAGAGATGAGAGTCACTTAAAAAGAAACAGTAATCAAAGATAAAACAAAGAAACAGTAACCAAAGATAGAACGACGATCAGTAGGATATCCTACCCAATCAATATCAAAATAGGCTCATAGCTCAAGAGATAAGTGAGTAGAATAATGAAGACCATGAAATATAACACCCTTAATATATCATAGAATACGAAGAACAACAACATAATGAGTAGAGTGAGGGGCAGTCAAAAATTGGCTAATGAGATGAACAACATAGGCTATATCAGGGCGACTAATAGTTAAGAGTAACAAGACTAACTGTCAACTAGTGATAAAGAGTGACATCAGGGAGAGGTGTGTCATCCAAGGGAGTAAGTCGACCATTTTACTCTAATGGGGTGGGTACAGTCTTGCAACTAGTGAGTTCAGCATGACTAAAAAACTAATATAAGATCTATTGTCATGCAACGTTTGCAAAAGAGTCCTCAAATGGTTGTAACGGTGTTAAAACGACCAAACTGATGACTGACAGATAGTGTTAAGGTGTTCTGAAATAAAGAGATAATTTGATGGTTATTGTTTTCCCATTCTTCAAGACGATTAGCATATTTTTTAGCCTATTTGGCCTCAAGACGAACAAGTTCCTTGATAACACTAATAACATACACTATAGTTTTCAACCTTTGAGAAAATTGGTCATAAATTGAGCCAAAACAATGTAGTTGGAGCCTTCAAGAATGATGGAAATTGGTTGGAAAACATCAGATAGAGCCATGGTGAGATCTGGATGGTCAATGAATGATTGGAAGGTCGTCGGAGAATGATAGGGAAGTGATCGGAACGTCATCAAGGGATGACTGGAGAAGGTGATCAAAATGTTGTTGGAGGATGGCGAAGGAGATCAAAAGGTCACCGGAGGATGGCTGACTAGGCGTCGAAGGATGGTCGGAAGGTGATTGAAATGTCACCAGAGGACTACTGGAAAATCACTGGAGGTTGACTGAAAGATGAAGGTCAAGTGCGTGTCATGATGTGAAAGATCCCTCGCAAGGCAACAAGAGAGCATACTATCTCAAAGGATAGCCGAAAGTGGAAGAGTTTCAAGAGTTTTGATGTGGATGATTCCCACAGGACAACCACAAAGCATACTATCATTGGTCAGAAGGATTCACAAGCTTAAACTCTAATACCATGTGAAAGAAGAAAATAGAAAATAAATAGTCATTGTATATTGCTTTGGTGTAATCTATAATATACATGAAAAGATTTATTTATAGTATAAGAGAGTAGTAAGATTTTCTAGTTTAACTGAGGTGGGACAAACATATTATAATTATATACATTAACAATTATTTGAAAGATTAGTGGGGTTTTGGTGAACAGTCCACTTTCTTCTAAATTTTATATCCTACTTGGTTTGACAGTTGGGTGTGAATGTATGATTATTGGCTGCTTGCCAGTTCTTCTTGCATTTTTTTTGGGTAAGATTATCTTATATTTCACAATAATTAAATTCCTTATCTCTTATACTTTTTTTTTTGGGGAGGAGGAGGGAAATTTGAACCCTTAACCTCATAAAGACAAAATGTTCATAAAGTAAACAATACCATTGAACCAAAGATTCATTACCTGGTCTAGTATTTGACAATATTCAAACCCCACCTCACAGGGACATTTTAGAAAATAATATATTAATATGCTAAATTAATGTTTTAAGCTAAGTAGTTATAAATAAGTTTATAGTGATTATATAGGCCACTTGGAATAATCTAATTAGATACGACTAATATATTCATATTAAATAATTTAAAATTAAGAAAAATACGGTTTGAAAAGAAAAAAAAATTCAAACCCCTCTCCTAAATTAATTCTTATAATACAGAGTATAGATTTGAGACACGTCACAACTATTCTAGAATACATAGTATAGATTTGAACACAACTATGGACTTTGGACTGGAAGACCATCAGCTATAATTAAATCATTTGGAAATAGAACCTAGGGCAGCACTAAAATACATGTGAACACAAATGATCTTGAAAGTGTCATTGGATACACATGACCTTTGAAAATAGGGGAGAAGATAATAATATTTAAAGAAACCATATAAGATAATCAATTGATCATATAGAAAAACCTTTCTTGGCCATCTTATTTGAAGTTCATCTTCCGCAAGATGTTGTTCAATATGTTTTCTATTTTATTCATTTTTTTGGCTTACAAGTTGAATTTTATAGAGTCAAAATAGGAGTTCTAGTCAAAAGAAACTATAAAGTGATGGATTTTTTTTCAGGGGTCAACGATTAGGAACATCTGAGTCAATTTATGCGCACATTAACTAATATTTTCTTAGGTTCAATCATAGAAAGATTATCTAACCAAAACGTCTGAATTTATATTTTATCTCTAAAATTACCATAAGACCTTTTCCACGTCCGTGATTATGAAGACAAAATGGGAAATATCTTTTGAACTTTCAAGAGAATGTTAGAAAAATTAAAAACTAGGAGACAAAATAAGAACATTCTGGTAAAGCATTTGTTGCGGGTCATTGCTTGAATAGACCATTGTTCTTGGGAAGAACGAAAAACTAGAAAGGTGGGAATTGTTATCGGCATGGTACGGATTTTCACACATAAAAATATATTTGCATGTCAAAGAGTAATATTTGACCAGTTCTTTCTGGATATCACAATAACACGCAACTTTTATTAGACTCGATTTACAAAATTTGAAATTACAGCATTTGACGAACCAAGATAGCTAATTTTTTTTTTTGATCAAAAAATACTACAACACTTCTATTTAAAAGTAAAAGTGTCGTAAGTTCTTATAATTCATACACATACCCAAAAATTATTCAATGTGAGATAGTTCCAGTCCATCACCACCTAGGCCCAAAGGCCTTCCTGATCTTAGTCGGGCTTTAGAGGAATGCAATTGAGCCCACATAGGACCCACCCTGAAACAAACACGTACCGGTAATTTTTTTTTGACTAGAGAACACTACGATAATTCTACTTAAAAATAAAAGTGTCATAGATCCTTATAACTCACACACACATCCAAAGACTATCGGATGTGGGATAGCCCCAAGGTAGCTAATTAAAAAGCCCACCTAATCATGTGTTGAAATAATCTTTTCATTCGAATTTCTACCCACCTAATCATGTGTTGAAAATTAAATCGTATGTTTTACCCATTTCAAGGGAGGTGGGTGGGCTTGGTCACAAGTGCATCCGTCATTACCAGGAACGTTGACTCGTCATCATGCATGACTGGCATCCCCGATTTCGACCGCCAGTGTCCAGTGTCCACCACCGTAGCACCGCTGCTCCTATACTTCATTGCCAGTTCCTTAGGACCAGCAATAAAAATTATCATTGATGATGCACAAAAATGGTTTTGCACACCACCTGTCAAGTGTAGATAATAAATGCAATGAAATCAATGAAAAAATTAAGAAGACACAATCTATAGTGGTTCGGTCAATTCGACCTACGTCCACTCTTCAATGGCTTCAGTTGCCGGGTATTTTATTGACTCAAAGGTATGGAGAATGAAGATACAAGCTTTGAGTAAAAGAATGAAGAATCAAAGAAAATAGTAATCTCTGGTAGTCGGTTCGTCCTCTGTAAGTCTCTGGTGGAGCGTGATCTCTTTCTCTACCAGATTAGAGCCATTTTATAGTAGCTAAGAGATCATTCTTGTGGAGATCATGACATATCCTCAAGGCTTCTTTATCGCAGCTCAGAGATTATCCTTGGTGGAGATCACGACTTATCCTCAATGTAAGGAGGAGGTTGGGGAGTTCTTCATGGAACGTGGTCAAAGATTGGACTGTTTCCTTCGGTGGTACAGATAAACTTCCCGTGCTCTCCTCTTGGTGAAGTGCTAAGCAAGAAGTCTAACCGGCCTTGGACTGTCTTGGACTTGGTGGATTTGGACCGTTTCCTTTGGTGGTGCAGATAAGCTTCCCGTGCTCTCCTCTTGGTGACGTGCTAAGCAAAAAGTCTAACCGGTCTTGGACTGTCTTGGGCTTGGTAGAATCACAATGAG